GGGCTTGGCTATTCAGAAAAGCTTAATTCATAGGGCTCACTCATGTCTAGACTTCAACATCACCACAAGCCGGAGGAGATTCCCAATCAATGTGTCACTACCCAATAAGGTTCATTGCGTCTATTCATTAAGGAGCCCGAGGGAAAAGGGGCCGAAGCTTACCGACGCCTGCCCGGTGTGCCGGCCACGAAGCCCCACTCTTCTGCCGAACTGCGGGTCTGATCCGGCGCGGGCTTTCCGGGGTTCAGGATCGATGACAGCGCAACACTTTAAACACATTCTGGCACAGAAACCTTCGATCGCTGGGCACAAAATGAGTTTGGGGCTGAAGTACCAGTGTTTTCGTCATTGTGAGACTTGATGTCGACACTAGAGACCAGCTAAGTCCAGATCACCTCCTCGCAGAAGGTTGCCAAGGTGCAATACCAAGAATACCAAGAGACCGCTAAGGACTAAATCATATCTTGTCGCCGCGGTTTTCCTGTCGAGTCAATCACGTCTTTTCCTTGGTAGATCGCATCATTTTCGGGACTCAACAGCTCAAAACGCGTTTTGCCCTCAACGTTCCGACCTGAATTTTCGACAGCAATTGAGTGATTTGCGACAAGCAAGCATCAAGCACTGCCACGGCCAAGGGTCTAACGACTGCGAAATTTATGATGTGATCAACCCAACGCTGACTTTCAGCGCACCCGATGAGCAATCTCAACATTGGCAGTGGTTGACTGGCTTCATTTTGGCGCAATCGAAGGGTCTTGGCTGCTTCACTCCTGGGGCTTTGTGGTTAAGGCTGCCTCTTGTGTGGAAAGAAGATGACCACCCTCCGCGAAGCTCTTGAGCGGAGGCTGGGCATGCATAGAACCCATTTACTTGAGTGGTTTTGCGCTAGAAGGAGTTTTCGGGAGACAATGTTTGCAATGGAAGGCTTAAAACCGTACATGTCCTCGGCTGACCGTTGTCGTCTCGTGCTTCTTTGCTTTCTAGACGATGCTTTGGAACCTCCACGCCAATATGTCAGAGAAGAAGGAGATAGAGAGCTCGTCGACTCCTCCGTCGGAGCTTGACAACAACGTCGACAGGAAAGATGTCTCAAAAGTCGAGCAGACAGACGAGGAGATCGAGCGGGAAAGGGATCGGATACTTCGCGAGCAAGAGGAACTTCGGAAGCAAGATGCACCTATCATTCCAATCATGTCGTTTTTCAAGAAGAGAAGCGGCTATGACGAGAACGCGATAGCAACTCAACCTTCTGTCTACGATCATCCCTCCACCGCCAAATTCTTCCAACCGCACCCGCGATATGAAAATCTGCACCGCTTCGACCCTACCTTCCGCTGGACATGGGGCGAAGAACTCCGTCTCATCAACAAGCTCGACTGGAAAATCACGTTTTTCGCATGCCTTGGTCAGTTCTTCGATGCATAGTACCGCCCCAACTGCATATACTTACTCCCCTATAGCATTCTTCGCCCTCGACCTGCCCCGCGGAAACTTGAGTCAAGCGAATTCGGCATCATTTCTCGAGAGCCTGGGGATGGACACCAACGACTACAATTTGGGCAATACAGTCTTCCAGATATCGTTTCTATGCGCTGAGCTTCCCTCGCAGATGGTTAGCAAGAAACTCGGTCCCGATCGATGGATCCCATTCATAATGTGTTCCTGGAGTCTAGTATCCGGCTGCCAGTTTTGGCTCAGCGGGAGAACCTCATTCCTTGTCTGTCGCGCGCTACTCGGTATTCTTCAAGGAGGCTTCATCCCGGACATGGTTCTCTACCTCACATACTTCTTCAAGTCAACAGAGCTACCCTTCCGACTCGCCATGTTCTGGACAGTCCGCCGCATCACCGACATTGTCGCACCTCTCCTTGCCCTCGGCGTCCTGCGAATGGATGGCTTCAGTGGTTATGAGGGCTGGCGGTGGCTATTCATAATCGAAGGCATCTTGACCATGTCCATCAGCATTTGGGCATGGTTTATGATGGCTCCGTCTCCAACCCAAACACGAGCACCTTGGCGCCCCAATGGTTGGTTCAACGAGCATGAAGAGAGGGTGCTGGTCAACCGCATTCTGCGCGATGATCCATCCAAGGGCGACATGCACAACCGTCAAGCCATTACTCCGAAGTTGCTTCTCCAGTCTTTGGCTGACTGGGAACTGTGGCCCATCTACATTTTCGGTCTCATATGGGAGATCCCGTCTGGTCCACCCGACCAGTACCTGACATTGACTCTTAGAAATCTGGGCTTCAACACGAACGACACCAATCTTTTGAGCATCCCGCCTCAGTTCCTCGGCGCAATCTTCATGATGATCATGACGTATCTGTCTGAGATTTGGGACTCCAGAGCCTTGTTTGGTGCCTTCACCCAGCTCTGGTACTTGCCCAACCTCATAGCCATGGCGGTACTCCCATCGAACAGCAGTCCCTGGGTGCAATATGCTGTTGTGACAGTGCTCCTGTCTTACCCTTCGCGTAAGTCACTCGACTGAAGACAGCCTTAGAAACATCTGACCCGGATTCTAGCTCATGCAATGCACGTTTCTTGGGCATCTCGTAATTCCCATTCAGTTCGTACTAGGGCTGTATCGGCTGCGTTGTATAAGTAATTTGGCCTTTGTCTGGCACCGAGCAGATAGGAGTCTGATTGTTTCGCAGTATGATGGTACAGCTTGCTCGTGTAATCTACTCGAATATTTACCGTGAAGACGATAGGCCGGAGTGTGAGCATACACGGGTACCCACTCGGTGAACCTATTTCAGCTAACTTCAAGTCTCAGACCGCAGAGGAAATCGCGTGCTCATTGGCATCTGCTGCGGGAACATATGCATTTATCTTCTAGCGAAGATATTCTACGTGTGGTGTAACAGAAAGAGGGAAACAGAATGGAACGCTATGACAGAAGAGGTTAGTTGACCGGTAGTCTCTGAGCTGCTCTGATTAATAGCTAATAACTCTATTAGGAGCGAAATACATACCTGGCTACGACCAAAGACCAAGGAAGCAGTAGGAAAGATGTTCGCTTCAAGCACTAAGTTTCAACTGCGTTCGAGCCATGAAATACGTGCAAGTAAGGATAGGACGGTTTCCTCACAAAATACAAATCCTTTCCTTCCCACCCCCTTGTAGAATTTTTCACAACACAACAGATTGGTGTCTCATGGAATGCCATATCGGTTTCTACTCGATGTATTGTTAGGAAAGAGGGCAGGAGACGGCTACCTGGACATGTAATAACTACATTCACGCTTGGCTGTGAGATACCTTGGCCCTTGCAAGTCCGACTGTCCGAATGGAAGATGTTCCATCATCTTGCGGCATCCTACAAGGCAACTTCAGAATAAGTGCACGTTTATCCATCTAGATGCGCATGTGACATCTCTGGTAGCTCAAAGGGGCTTGCACTTCAACAATACTCCGGCAGACCATTTCGCTCTGTAACAAGTTGGGACGAGGTGCTTCTTTGCCAAAAAAATCTCTTCGAAGATGAGACAGGTATTGCATTGACCACAGGAAACTGGTATTCTCGCCTAGCTATTGCGGGACGATTGCCGGTCTCAAAGGGTGGCCGGCGGTTGCGTGGCCAGAAGAAAGTACTTTTTGAGGGTCGTGTTCGAAGATTCTTCGAGGGGGATGAACCCCTCGAGCACAGTACGCATCAGGTAAGACTTTACATCATGTAAAGTAATGAGCTATCTGTTCGAAGCGAGTGCTTAAGGCATTCCTTAGATGTTTCTTTCAAATTCAACCTGGATTTATTACATGGTGGGTATTTAAAGACCGCAAGCTCAGCCACAGCCTTTTTGAGTTGTCTATGTTTCCTGATCTCTAATGATTCTTTGACCCAACGCCTCTCCAGCTACTCAAGCTACCACACCTTTCACTCAACGTCGGCCGTCGTGACGCGAGGTAAACCTCCAATGATCCAGTCCAAGGCACTCGGGCAAAGTTCGTCAGTAATGGTTTGATCGACGGAGAGTGATGTGACAATGTCTGGTGCTGGTAAAGGGGTGAAGGTTAGAATTAAGACTTGGTCCGTCCGTCTTATTGCCCCATTTTGCACAGCTGACATCGGGTGAAGACATTCACGTAGTCCAGAGAGCCGGGGTCTCGGATACTGCGGGTCGTCTGACCAGATAGCACCGAGTTGGAGCTCGATGCCAGGACTAGTTTCGCCCTCCATCTGAACAAGGCAATGAAGGAGCAAGTATAGGTCGTCAGCAAACCAATGAGAGTTCATCATAACCAGACGTATATCCAATCGACCACAAACTCCACAGCCGTCTCGTTCCAGCGCAGCATAAAGCGCGATCTTCTTGATTTCTCCCAGATGATTGTTCGTGAATCGGTGGAAATTTTCAAGCCCAGATCTTGAATCAGACGGCCGAATATTCAGCGTCTGCCAGAGCAATGGTTCAAAGAAGCCTTGCCATTCTTTCGAAACAAGCGTCTAGCTTGCCATCGGATGCTTATGATCGTCCGAGGTCATTGTCTCCAACTCCTCGAAGATCATGAGTCGTAGCTCTGGCGGAAGACAGGTCCAGCGATTGGCCTTGGGTTGAAAACGAGACATTTTGACCCTTGGTGAGCGGGGGTTCTGGGGAATTGAAAGTGAGGTTGCAGTTTTTCGTGTATGAAAGTGCACTGAATCTCCTTGGGGTCGGCCTGCTTATATGCTTTATCTTGCATCTTAGGTCGTCAAGGTTGCATGTCATGCGGACCCGTGTGGAAGACCTCTCTGCTTTTGTCGTGACCGTTTACAAATTCAAATCCGGAATGGAAAATGATTCTCAAGGTGTTCATAAAGGTTACAGATCTCGAATGATCACTTCGAACCATCCATCATAGTGCCTCCTTGGCATCTGAGCCATTGAAAGTGCACATCGAGCAAGGTCGTCAAACGCGCCAACTTCGATGGCAGAAACTTGTTATTCGTTTTCTTCTTACGGCGAGTTTTTATACGACAAGGCATTTGTATTGATGAGCTAGATAAATCTTTACTGGGAGTCTACCGTGGCCCGTTCCCTCATAGACCACACATCCCTCAAATCATCTATAATTCTCTGTATCTCTCCATAACCCATGCGGTCACGCATCTGATGTAGTACCAGCTTTACTAGGTCAATGTCCTCCTTGGAGGTGACAGAGTAGCCTAAAATCAGCATGGGCCATGCACCCAAATAGCAACGTGTCCAGATTTCGTATGCTTCTGGGCGACGCAAGATAGATAGAGCACGAACAACCTGCCATCGAGTTGTTTGTAGAAATGGTGAGGTGGTGCCACCGGTAATTCCTAAGAGCCCTGCCTCTCTCGTCGACGGTGTTGAGATAGAGTACTCTGTAATGTAATCAAGAAGAAGAGACGCAGCTAAAACGAAGAGCGTAATTGCGTCCCTCTGAAACCTTTCGGACGGAGTTGAAAACGGGACACTGCCGGTTTCTGCTCTATCCGTAGTGACGAATTCTTCCCATGGCTTGATCTCCTGTAGCAACCTCGTCACAGTATCCGCGCCGGGGTATTCAGGAGAGTTAAGCAAATCAATTATAACTGTTATGAGACGGTATAGACGTAGTGGAAGCCCGAGAACAAGACTCGAATCCGAGAATAGCGTGTTGATCAGCTTATTGTCCAAGAAGCTCTCTGATTGAGCCATGAAATGCGGATCGATGTGGAAGTTTGGCGCAAACGGTTTTCTTGCGGCTAGAAGAAAGGCTTGGTACAGGACACTCTCTGTTGCTAGTCTGTGGAGCGTGCTGGACATGGACAAAGGCGAGCTTTTGTCTTCGTAACGTAATTTCAGTAGACTCATAGCACCATCGACGTGTTTCCTGGCGTCAAGAGACGTATCTGCGCCCCAGAACTGCAGATTGTAAAAGTCAGTGTTGGGGTTGTCGTCTGGGACGGACGGAGATTGGCTCACATTATAGAGGTAAAGATATACCACCGTCGTCAGAAGTGTGTCGCTTGGGCTTTCGTGAGAAGAGCCTAGATCTAGGATCGAACGATTGACTGACTCGATGGCCCGCAAATAGTACCGCAACGCGGTACTGTGATATCGGCAGTTCTTGGTGAGCATGAATTTATTGGAGGCGGAATTGGCCAGAACAGCATATTTAACGCTGTCGCAACTCATCATCATCCCCATGACCTGGGTCCCGTAGTCCTCCAGGTCAGCTTCGGTAACTGTGGGCAACAACAGAGCAGTGACCAGCACGTTGAGATAGTGATGTGACAAGTCATGCTCAATCTCCGGCAATTCTCTATGTCCAAAGGACATGAGAGAAAGCTCGTCACACGATGACGGTGTTGGTGATGGTGGTGATGGGCCTTGTGACGCATGCTTCTCAGACGCTGTCAGTCGTTTGCCGCGAAAACGCCTGTCGTGGAGCTGATCGGAGGACGGCCACGCACAATCGCGGCCTGAAGCAGCGCAGTTTCGGCAACAGGGTCTTTCTTCCCCGCATTTCACCTTTCGCTGTCTGCCTACAGGGGGTTCAGTGATACTCGGAGACGAAGGAACAGGTCATTTACAAGTGGTACAGCCGGTTTTTGTCCGCAGTCTTGCCCTCGGCATCGTGGTAAAGAGACTGATCGCTATCGCTATCGCTGTCGCTGATTGAGTCGGTTGGAGACTTGGTTAAGCTACGTTACGACTGCTTCAGTCGACATCAGAGACCAGTGGGATAAGAGAAATAAATCGCAGGTGGTCATTTCTTATCAAAAAGCATCAACAAACCCCGCACTCATTATCTTTGTGGAGCGCCTAATCACACAGGTGGGTTAGGCTGCATCCCACAGCAACCTAGACCCCTGAAAGTCCGGGGAAGCTGCCGAACGTGCCAGTTTTCGGCAATTCGAGTTTTTGTCTAAGAAGAACAGGTTGCAGAACTGCTAAATTACTCATGTATCTTGAAAATGATATCTCATTGACTACAGCATCATCGAAAATGGAAAGTTGACTGCCCGACCGACTGCATGCAATTCCAGATGAAAAGCATGCTATGCATCGCGACGAACAGCGTCATTCTTTTACTCTTACTGCTGAATAATCCTGGACACCATCTCAGACGCAGCGATCGTATCTTCGTCTCGGAAGTGTTTGCCTGCGAGCTGCAACGCAATGGGAGCGTCCTTGAAATCTGCTGGAGTATCTTTGGTTTGGAAGCTTTCTGTTAGACAAAGCCTAAGGAGGGTAAAAGCCGATTGACTCACATTTCTTGTACTCTCGCTCGTCCTCGGCAGAGCGAGGCTTGTAATCCTCCTCCACAACATCGATGGCTGGATCAACGTGGATTCCCGTCGGAAATATCACGCTTGGCTGATCTAGAATATTCCAGATCGTAGTGTAATGCCAGTATTGCGCCTCGCCCAATCTTGCAGGAGGGCCCACGTACGCTGGACACAAGATGAAGTCAACTCCGCGATCCTTCATGGTTTTGTGATAGCTGCGACCAGGTCAGTCTACATCGCTCAGACTGTCATGGGTATATGTATGGAATGAATAACTCACTCGTCCCTAAAATTGTCTCGTCGAACATTCAGTTCCCAGTTCTCTCTGATAGAAAGTGGTTCAGGCTTTGAGTACGCGAATGCCCATTCTGTCAAGGATGCAACAGGTTCACCGCCCTTCCCCAAGAGTTCTCTTTGAGTTGCAGCTGCATCAGGGAAGTAGAGCGTCTGAATGATTTCGGCTCCCTCCTTGTGGTTGTATGGCTCAAAGTCAACAACCTTGATTCCGGCATCTTTGAGCTTCGCGACCGCGTGCTTCAGGGCGCGCGTAACAGGCGGATGAGGGTGGGCCATCCTACCAATGGCACATGTCAGTATTGAATCCAACGTTAGGGCAGAGGCACTTACCCATCATCCCAAATGACACCTATCGTGAAGTCTCCAGATTTGAACGGCTCGCGTCGTTTCCAGGGCAAAGGTACAAGCTGGGTCTCTTCCTCCCAAGGCTCCTGATCGATGATGACCTTCTGGAACAGGTCGAGGTCTGCAATGCTGTTGGCTAATGGGGACAGCACGCAGCGAATGCTCTCTTGCCCGAGCCCAGGTATGCAGACCCCTTTGTACGGATTGCGCATCGCGGTCGTACGAACACCGTAAGAACCGCAAAATGCAGCGGGTACTCTCACAGACCCGCCAATATCTGTGCCAATGCCCATTACTGCACACCGTAGGCCTAGCGAAGCACCTTCTCCTCCGCTAGATCCGCCACTCGTGAGGTTTCGGTTGTAGGGGTTCACCGTCGTTCCGTATATAGGATTGCTGCAGTCAAGATGCTGTTGAAATCTCTGGTTAGCATTGATCTCAATCAACAGTATCCCAAATGTAACCCGGGCGCTTACCATGACACTTTGAGGCTCGTTCGTCCGAACGTGGAACACCGCTCCGGCAGCTTTTGCCAGACGAATGACTAGAGCATCTTCATCGGCCACATTGTCGGCCCATGCAACATAGCCAGAGTGAACTCTGCGGCCTTTCAGGCTCATATGCTCCTTGGCGGATATCGGTACCCCGTGCAAAGGCCCAACGAGCTTCCCGGTTTTCTTGAAGTGCGCATCCAGCTCCTCAGCAGCAGCCAGTGCATCTTCAACCATGAACTCAGTAGCAAAGTTCACGAGTTGATGCGCAATGTGACCTCTTTTCAAGAAAGCCGTGACAGTCTCGACCGCAGTGAGCTTGCCTTCGGCCATCTGACTCGTCAGCTCGGCCGCGGTACTCGCCGTGATCTGCAGCTCGCGCGGTGTCAACTGTCCACAAGATTCAATGAACTTAGACACATTAAGCTGGCTGGCGGGTGGTAGCTGGTCTGGAGGAAGCAGCCATTCGGGTTTCAGTGACTTTTGCAGGATTTGCCGACAGGCCTCGGCCTTGATCTCCCATTGTGCTGGAGACATTTTGGCGTGACTGACAAGGTGCTTTGGCCGTGACGGGTGAAAGCAGTATGACTGGACTTCGTGATTCAATTAACCTAGTGGTCTTTGCACGACAGATATAATTGAACTGCACTGCCAGTTGGAGCTCCCCCAGTAAGCACAGGTCCGCATATGACCCCGCTGGCGAACACTATCAGTGCCGCGTTCCTGTTCCGTTAGTATCAAATGACATGCTTCCGTCATCCAATCAATCACTGATGATATGCCGAGATGACGAAAAACTTCAACACTGATGCAAGGATTGCATGGTGATCACATGGGATGTACGACAAACAAGAAGCATTCTCAACACCCCGCGTCGGCTGTATTCTTCCCCTCCCCAGGTGATCATGGTTTGCGGCAAGAAATCCCCGGCTCATCGCAATTATCAGTGATTGGATAGAGCCGGTCCGTTATCAATGATTAGCCTCAGCTGCACTCGCAATTACATGTGATTGGTCAATCAGACCTCGAAGCTCCCCATTTTAGATTATGCCTGAAGCTTAATGTTGCATTTCTGTATCCATCAACAGCCAAACCCCTGAGCACATACCATCATGACAGAGACCCTTATCCAGAGGCCTGGGATTCATATCAGACTGGCCGAGCCCCAGTATCTCCATGTCACCGAGACGCTATCGTTCGCAATTGGAAGACATTGGTCAGATGGCGTTCGTCAACTTATCATGATCAGACGCATCTTTCTTGTATCCCGCCATTTGACTATCTCGTGGACAGAGGCTGATTGATGCCCGCCGCCAAGTTTCAACTCTTTCGTCTGCACTGCTTGATAAAGCGTCTGTGCCTCCACATCGTGCATGACAACTCTGTTGCGAACCAGCGAGCCTTTTCCAACACCTTCTTCTTGCCTGAGTGTCCGGACTGTCTCGTCCGATCATTCGTCCTTACTTCACCCTGTCCCCAGGATATTCGAACATCGCCACTAAGCCAGGCCTACCGTCGGGAAGGTCTTGGCCGTCATGGGTTCCTCCGATGAGCCGTCAGCGCCGCCATCGGGCTTTGTTCCCGGAACCGTCCATCTCGTCGATCTTGAGGGGACAATGGCATCTCGTCATGCCGCCGGGGGTGCTCGGGATGTTGTGTTGATCCCGACACCTTCGAACGATCCCGATGACCCTCTCAACTGGTCGCCTCGGAGAAAGGCGCTGCTTCTGAGCTGCCTCTGTGTGTAGGTTCTCGGTTCGGTATCAACTTCAGACCGCCGCTGATGAATGATGTCCCAACCGGTAGATATTGCCTTTCCATCGGCATCGCCTCGGCGGCTATCTACTCGATCCTCGTACCCATCTCTGCCGCAACCAACTTAACGTTGGGCGATCTCAATGCCGGTACTGGATACATGTTTCTGACTTTAGGATGGGGTTGTTTGGTTTGGCAACCACTGGCCCAGAAATACGGCAAGCGACCAGTCTATCTGCTAAGCCTGCTAGCAACATTGGTAAGCCATCCCTTCTCAACGGCTGATGAATCTGGAAGCTGAAGTCTTGTCACCGCAGTTGATCATGGTGTGGGCTCCTTACGCAACGACGGGTAGCCAATGGACAGCCAACAAAGTTCTTGAAGGCTTTTTTGGAGCACCAATAGAGTCCCTTTGCGAGATATCTATCGCAGATGTGGTATGCTACTAGAGATTTCAACTTCCCCTTTGGGGAATCTACTACTGACAAGTACGTGTAGTGGTTCACACACGAGAGAGGTACTTACATGGGCTTTTATGCTCTCTTCCTTTTCGGCAGTAACTTCCTTGCCCCTGTTATTGCTGGATTCATCAACGATGGTCAAGGTTGGGAATGGGTCTTGGTACGTCGGCGAATCATATCTTGATGATGTGTATGGTTGTTTGATGTTAACATCTGAGTGACTAGCACTGGTGCGCTATATATTGTGGTATCGGCTTTCTCATCTGCTTCTTCTTTATGGAAGAGACCAATTATCAGCGTGTTACGGTGCTGAATGCCGAGATCTTTGCTGGCGATGGAACAGAGTCGTCAGCTGAGAAGGGAGCCAAGACTCAATCCGATATCGACAATGTCGCCCCCATCCAGCCAGATGCCGATGAAACTTCAAAGGCGCCATCGCCAAAGACGTTCATGGACAAGATCAAGATATTCCGGAAGCAGGATATGAATCTCCAGTTGTCACTTAAGACGATGGCAATTCGTCCATTTCTCTTCTTGTCTTTTCCGGTCATCGTGTTCTCTGGATTTATGTACGGAGCTATCCTCTGTTACTTCAACGTTCTCAACGGCACTGCCTCTCTCATCTTGTCAAGCCCGCCCTACAACTTCCGAGCCAGCATTGTGGGTCTTTCGTATGTCTCCTGCCTAATAGGAGTTGC